CTGACCCCCCCCCCAGGCCTTCCCCACACTATTGTCTGTGTCCAAGTGTTATGCATATATACATATAAATTCTTTGCTTAATCTTTCCCCACACCCTTCCTTCTGAGATTCATCAGCCTGTTCCATGCTTGCGATGGAATATACAATTGATTCTTAATAAAAGAATGAGGGATCAGTAGAGTCAGAGATCATCTAAAATCACCATTTGAAGGAAATACTTAAAATGTTTCAGAGTACATTTGATGTTAACCTGATTAAAATGCCATCCAATGTTTTAAGAACACATGTACCATGCTGTATATCCCATCCAGAAGTGGAAAAATAACACAAGAGGTTTAAGAACACAAGTGTCACGTAAACAGCTTAAGGAAAATAAGTCTTAAATGTATTATATTTTAATAATAGTTTTTAATTTATTCCTTTGCATTTATACTCTATAACATATACGTGAATATATACACCCACAATCATGTACACACTATAAACTTACTAGCAAGAGAAACTATCTATCAAAGCAAAGTTAATAAATATCTGAACTTTACTTTTATGAAGTATTATCATGGGACACCCTATCATCTCCTTTCTCTTTTTTTTTTTTTTTTTTAAATATATCTTTATTGATTTCAGAGAGAGGAAAGGAGAGAGAGAGAGACAGAAACATCAATGATGAGAGAGTCACTGATCAAGCCCACGACCTGGGTATGTGCCCTGACCGGGAATTGAACCCCGATCTCCTGGATCCTAGGTGGACCCTCAACCGCTGAGCCACTCCCGGCCAGGCTCCTTTCTCTTTTTTATCTTCCCCAATCCCCTAGGCTTGTGAAATCCCTAACCACAACTACCTCTTTGGCTTTATTTCAGCTGTAGGGAAGGGGTTGTTGCTGGGGAACAGTGGAGCTTCTGGTTTGGGCTGGGCTGTGGCTACAATAGACCCAACTCGATGTTTAATGGATGCTTTGAGCCTGCAGAAGAAAGACGCCTTCAAGTAGATGGGTGTTTTCCACCCCTCAGTCACACTAATATTTTTGCAAATTAATTTTTCATTTCTAAATTATAATTAATCTGTAAATTTATCAAGCTACCTCTGCATAATCAAAACTTCTTTCTCTTCAGGTAGTCTACCATGGCAGTGAAAAGTTACATTTAGCAAACTGTTACATAGCATTCAGTATCTGGGAAATTTATGTTGCAGAAAAATAGAAATGACATGTCAGTCCTCACACACTGATAAGTTGTACAAAGCCTCTCTCTCGCTTGGTCTTTTTTCTGTGACCTCCGTTCCTACATCTCCACAAGTGGTGATCTGGGCACACGTATCTGCTAGAAAATGCTGAGTGTGAACAGATGTATGTCACTGTAAAAACGGAATATGAAGTTAAATACAATCTTTCCAGCATTTGCTAGCACCAAACCCCAATAATGTAAAAAGATGGTCATGATAAATATAGTATTAGGGGAAAGTAATACTATAACGTTTTATGTTTATGTAGGATGATCCAGTTTTCTCTTTAAAATAACATACACGTGAATAAAATCGGTAAGGCCCTTAAGCCATGCTTGAAGAGTTGTTACCCCGGGTGTGATCTTTATTTTCTTTTCTATACCTTTTCTATTATTTTTATATTCAGAGGGGAGTTGTTTGAGTAACAGGGGAGAACATGTGGCTTGGATTGTGCATTTGTATGGGCATCTGTTCTCATTAAATTACACAAACAGATGAATGTCATATGGCAATATCATTTAGAGTGAAAACGGAGACACTGGTATTTATGCTATGAAATATAGCCAGGGAAAGCAGGGGATATGTACTATTACAAGGGAACCTATCCTTACCCTAACCAGTCGCTCCCTGAGTTTCGATGACGAGGTGGGATAAAGGGACAGCGTACTCTGAGCACCTGACGCGGGCTGTGGTGCTGGGGAGCACAGCGTTTCAGGATGGGTCCCGAGGCCAGGTGATCACTTAACTAGTCACCTGACGCTGTGCAAATTACTTAATCTTTTTGATAATCACTTCCATGTTTTTAAAACATAAAACAGTAGTTATAAAAGTCAGATAATGCCCCTAAAAGCCTATTTTGTGAACTGTAATTCATCTGAGTGGCCATTGTTTTGTTATTTCCCCTACCAGTCAAAGCTCCAGATGGGCCCTTACACAAGATTTTTGCTTTTGCGGATGAAGTGATTTCTACTTCTACTAATGGATTTGTTAGTCACCACCACTTTGAAAAGACTGATTTTTTAAAAATACAATAATATCCATATGATAATGCCTTGTGACATTTCCAGTGTTACAAGTATTTTCAAACTAAGTGAGTAATTTCTGGCTACAGATTAATCAAATTATAATGATTCCCAGAAAGGACAACATTAATCAAATTTATAATTAGATTCTTATCATTAATCATATCAATGCTGGTGTTCACTGAATAACACCAAGAAGCTAGGGATTTGTTAGCTACAGTAAAAATAACCTTCTACCCCTTCCAAAGTGAGCCCGAAGGATTCGCTTGCAGTATGTTGTGATAAAACTGAGAACTGCCCTTAAGAAAAATCACAGGTTTGTGTTTTTTCCCTCAGGAGCACTGGCCTCTCAAGCTGCTGTAGTCCGTAGGAACTGTTTCTGAGGGGCCATGTCCAAATGACTACGCATTTCTGATCCTACGGTACCAGCAGAGCCGTCACTGGCTTAGGTTGAGACGAGGGTTCGAGATCTGCCCTTTTGGGGGGCTATCCCAGGCTATAAGATACTGCAAACACGTTTGTGCATACACTGTGTTTCCTAAACTCTGACAACTGTTTAGGTTTGCTTTTTAGGCTGGTAAACCATGCTGGTGCTTTCCCTGCAGGGAGCTTACAAAGGTTCAGTGAACTACGTTATTTTTCTGAACTGCTTTCCACTAACGTTGCTCTAAAAGCATGTTATGATATTTTATGTTGGCCTAAATTTCTCTTTCTCATTATTCCATCTTCAATACTAGTTATTCTAGAAACTATAGACTTCTCATCTTTTCTACGTAACCACTATTTAGTATAAAAAATCCAGTGAAATCTGTTAAAAGTCATAGGAGAAATTTTCACTTGAACATTTATTTATAAGACAACGTTGTTGTTTTTCCTGAATGTAAACTCAAGACTAAAATGGCTCTTGGTATTCTGAACAGTATCTTTAAAAAACTGTAAAACAAAATTGGGAATTGACAAATTCAAAATGTTTCTTTTGGTCAAAAATGAAATCAGAAACAGACAAAAGCTAACAGTGACGGATGAGAAACTTTCAGTGTTTGTACTTATTTCGTAATCAGATGTCATTAAATACTTGTTTTAGTTTACCAAACATGGAAGAGCCTAAAATTATATTTTTGTGTTTTTATTATTCAGGTGGTAAGTAGATGCCTCCAAGTCACTGGGAAGATTATAGGCCTTTTTGTTTGTTTGTTTGTTTTTCGCTTTGTAGATAAAGCAATTAGCAGATGTAGCAACCTAAGGGGCAAGCGAATGCCTTCTACGCCTTGCTTTTTTCTATCATTGAAATTAGATAGTAACATTGATTCACCTTGATGATAATGAAGGGTTTAGAAGTTCTTAACTAAAAAATTCCTATATCTAGGCAGATTCTAAACTCAGTTTTTCTCAGATCCAGAGTATCTCTTGATAAGAATTGGAGAGAAGAGTAGCATCTTAGCACAGAAAATGGAGAGAACAAGAAAGGACAGCGCCTTTGCTCCCTGACCTCTAGGGGTGGCCTCAAAAGCCCCAAGGGGAATAGGGCTCAATTTCCAGAGCAGCCAGATAGGAAGTCCTAGGTAATATTTGCTTGAATTCTCTCTTACTAACTTAGAAGATCTGGTTTACAAGCTATACCAAATATAAAGCTAAAAGGAAAAAAGAAAGAAAATTTAATTTCAGATTTTTCCTTTTGCCCTTTTTTCCACTAAGAAGCACAAAAATTGAGTTTTGTCAATTGTCTAAGTTCACATTCCCCCCCCCCATTTCATCTAAGTTTTCTTAAAAAGTGGCATGATTCAACTATTTACCATTTCTTCTCTTTGCTTTCTCAATCGTTTTTAGAGAAATCAGAATGCAGGCACATTGCGCAAGTCATAACCTTAGAAAGCATTGGGCAATGGTTCTTTTGAAATAGTTCTATTGATATTTCATTCAGATTGGTCGGGCACTAGTGGAGATACTTTAGTTTTGGGAGATTCTTCACTTGCCTGTGTTTTAAAACTTTGGCCTGTACTCTCTGTGGAGCTTAGTTTTATTCTAGTGCATGCTTCTCCCTCCTGCTGAATCATGCATGCCCTCCATCCACGTTACCAGCTGCTTGGGGCAAAGTTAGTTAGACAGACAATAGACTTCATTCGTTGTTGCCCCCTAATCCACCTGTTTCTCCCTAGAAACCTTTGCAGCTTTACTGAAAAAAACTTTATATCTTATCTATAATATTAAAACATTTCAACCAGAAGAAATGTTTCCTATCTCTACTCTCTTAGGCCTCTCAGCCTCTCTATGACTCTCAGGAAAAAAATTGAAGTCTGAACCTAAATTCCACAAGTTTATGCAATTTGCTGAATTACTCATGCTTGGTGTCTTTTCGATTCTCTCCAAATTCTTGAAATCATAATGGAATTCAGAATTGAACACTGCTCTGTAATAAAGCCCAACATGATAAAAATTATATTTCAGTATGTTGAATAGAGCCCTACTCATTTTAAACAATAAATGTGTTGTAAAGGTTTTTTAGAAAAACTGAAAATAGATACAAATAAATCATGGAGGGTCATCT